TTTAAATATATTGGATTTTAAACTGTCATACAATTTTTTTCATCGATAGTCTGTAATTGGAACCATCACTCTTATTTATTCAAATTATTGATATGTAAAGACCAAGTGTAACCGATATTATCGTTAAATCTTATCTTATAAAATCAGTAGAACTTCAAAATCGTTAAAATTCATGGCTCCTGCCGCATTACGCGGGTACACAACTAGTAATATAGTATATATATATATATATAAAGAGAGAGAGAGAGAGAGAGAGAGGATCAAGCACGAAGGATGTCAAAATGAGAGAATGTAAATGACATATGATTTTGCATTGAAATCACAGCGTGGGCAATGCATACTAACTGTGTTGATGTATTATCTGAGTGATGTTGAAAAAGGTGGCAAGACAGTTTTTCCATCAACAGTTATATGTTAATGGATTTCATCTAATTAATGAAGTTTATAACGTTAACTAATAGGAGGCTTCTAGTCATASAACATCAAAAATAGACAATGATCTGTTCAAATGTACAGTGAGCGAACGATTAGAAAATTGGCTAGCTTTGTGTATATCTCACTCTCTCCGGATTCCACTTGGTGGGATATATTGTGTTTGTTTGGTTTAGTTTGGGTCTCTCTGTTCGACTGTTCCTCTACTAGGTTGGTTTAATTTGGTCTAAAACGGTTGTGCCACTAGAATACACAACATTGAAACCAAGAGAAGGAGATGCAATGTTGCTTCAACGTCTCTTGATCCAACCAAGTTTTACAGCTTCAACTTCTCTCAGTGCACAAAATAGGCTCCCATTTTCCATGTATTCGTATACAATAAATTGGGATTCATTTATCAACAAATTTTTTTCCTCTACCCAGACCGATGAAAATATTTATGTGTACGACACTTCCTTCCTTGTTGAAAATGATTCCAGGCCAAGTACAATAACTTGAAGCAATGTTACACGTCCACCAATGGATATCTAACCCACTATGTGGACGACAACCTACTTTGCGGATAGCTCGGAGTTACCGCATTTGAACCTCCGTAGCCATAAGAAGATTTTTATCCCTCTTTGATTTGAACCTCGGACGAGATCTCTAGCCATTTGACTTTTAGAATCAAGTTCAAACACCTTTATGGTTAACTTTTACGTGTTTTGCTGGTTTTGTGGGACCGGGACCGGGACCGGTTATAGACCAGTCCGACCCAAAATATTTAAAAAAAAGCCATTTTTTTTTAAAATATAGCTGTTAAACTGGTCGTTTGACCTTTTTTTTTGTATTTTTTTGGCATCTAAACACTATAAATATGTGACAAGGTTGAGAGATTTACATACCAACTTCTCAATTCGCAAAAAAACGCAAAAAACGTTCACAATTCTCGGTTTCTCGYTATATTTTGTGAATTCGACTYRTATTCATTTCTCGTTTCCACTTCACAATTCGCAGTTCTTTCTCTCTTTGTCTTACAAAATGACCGATCAACAACATGATGCATCAAACGAACAAGTTGCCCAAGTTCTCGTCGAACACGGACGAAAGTCCAAGACTTGAAATCACTACAACCTGGTGGTCCTCACGAACGGGAAAAGAAAGGCACAATACAAAATATGTCTTACAAAAAGGTTTTTTTTTACTGTAAATAAAAATAAAACATCAAGAACACAATTCTTCTATAAATGAAATAAACATAACTTATCATGAATGCTGGCATTGAAAAATTCAGAACAATGGCATGGAAGTGTTGTTAGGTTTATACAAATTTTTAGGTGATTTTTAACAAAATATTAAAAGAAAACATAACATTTTACAAGTGGATTCATATGAATTTTAGTATTTGTTCATAATTTATGACTCATATCAATTAATAATTAATAACTAATAGCAATTAATAATAACGAACGCATTATTATGAACCCATTTTATAAAGACGTTATGGTTATGAACACGTTCTTATGAACTTAATTTGATAATTATGCAATTCAGATTAATATGGTGAACAAATTGAGTGTGTTTTGGAAAAATTTCACATATGAATCTGCAATATGTTCACTTTAAACCACAATGGTGGTGCTTGATTGGTTTGAGTTTGACTCCAAAGGTTAAAAGTATCAGGAGGTCTCAGGTTCAAATCCAAGGAGGAATAAAAATCTCTTTATGGCCACATATGTTCAAATGCGTGACTCCGGGCTATCTGCAAAGCAGGTGGTCGTCTTGGGATTTGTCGGCTCACATAGCGAGTTGAATATCCAGGTTAATAAAAAAATGTTCACTTTAATTAGCCATTGTTCACGTTAAAATTAACATAATTAATCTATAATCTTGAAATACGATCATATGATTAAGATCTCTAAAAATATGCAAGTAATAATTTATAACATCTCATTAAATATATACCATAAAAGTAACTTAAGATATATCAGATTTTCATTTTATTTTAAATTTATTTAATTCATGTCTCTCTCTGCTTACATGTATTCATATGATTAATGGACATGAATGAGACATGAAAATTTGGGATAGTTGATCTTTATCCTTATAGACCCGCATGTACATAATCCTTTCCAATCTCAGAACATAGATAAAACTTAAAAGAACCATCGTCGGAGGTTTCCACTCGAATTCGATCACCATCGAGTTGACATTGATCCGAATCCGTTTTTAATAGATGGAGGGAGTTCGGGCACGACTCGACCGATCCTCGATGTGGTACGGACCAGCCACCGTGTTCATAGACTTGGTAAGGAAGAAATCGGTCCATGTAATGCCGCCTAACACCGTCACCACTGTTGACAATAATAACCACCATCACCATCACCATCACCATCACCATCACCATCACCAAGCTACCGTTGGTAGTAATGGAAATTGTTCTAACGATGGTAATGAAAACGAAACGCTAATTTTTCACTCTATAAATGGATTCCTCCAACACAAATAAATGGTTGGAGAATAGAAATCAAGAACAAGTTGAGGTTGGTTTTAGGGGTGTTTGGGATTTGCTTATTTAAAATAACTTATGTTTTTTTTGTAAAAGTGTTTATCAACTTATGTGGTATCAAACCAGAGTTTTATAAAAAGTGTTTGAATTAGCTTATAACGGTACCAAAAAACAAAAAACTGATAAGTTGTTTTTTAGTGTTTGACAAATTTTGCTTATATATATGTAAAATGACCAAAAAAGACAGATTTCCATTTTATTGACTTATGGGAGTCTTTAGGATTACTTATTAACTCATTCGATTTTTTAACATGTAAAAATTTATTTTTCATCATTTATAATAATATATTTGACAAAAATTTATATCAATAAGATTAATAATTAACAAATATTAATAAAACAAGGTTAAATGGTAAACTAGTAATAAGTAGTTTTTCATAAGTTATGAATGATTAACTTATCAAAAACTGCTTATTACCGGTTTGGCACCGGTATAAGCAGTTTCATTTTTTCTCATCTAAATGCTAGCATTTAGCTTATCACCGGCACCAAACTGAAATAAGTAAAAAAAACACCTATATTAAGCAATCCCAAACACCCCCTAACTAGATGTATAGATCATAAGAATGTATCTAACATGTTTCAGAAATTCCAATGAGTTATTTAACATGTTTTGGAATGTTCAAAAATTTATTTGTTCTAAAAAGTTGTTCAAAAATTTATTTGTTCCAAAAAATTGTTCAAAAACTTAATTATTTCAAATATTAAAGTCTATTGGGTTTTTTTAAACTTTTTTCGGAATAAAAAAAATAGAATAACAAGAAATAACAGAAAAATAGTTATATATTATTGAAAACTTCAAAAAGTATTAGAAGAAAAAAAAAAGTAAAAAAAAAAAGCAATACATAAAAAAAACAAAATTAAATAAATCATCCAACTTGAATCCCCTGGATATATACATACAAAAATGTATATGTATATACACCCACCACGCACCACCTTCAGCCATCCATCCAGTCATCTTCCTTCCATGCCAGAAACTAACCCACCAGTACGTAATCCAAYTTCACCCGAGCCGGAGCAATCGTCGGAGATGTTGGGTGGCGGAGTCATCAAAACCGCCATGATCTGCCGCCGCCATGGCCATGGAATCTTGCTGTTTCTTGTTGAAAAACGATGGGAGAGGTAGAGACCTGGGTGAGGGAGAATGAAAGAAACCCGATCCTGCATACGAGTCGGAGTCATCACCATCGTTGACTCTTCCGGGTGTTGAACCCATTTTCTCCGGCAGCCGTCTGAGGGGCTGCAATTTCCGGCAACCACCATTGTTTATGGGTCTTGAATAAAAATCTCCGCCATTTGGGGTATAATCAGCGATGAAGTTGGGCGGAGGAAGATCGAYGAAGCAGTCATGTGGGTGCAACACCTCCGTACCCATCAGCTTCCTTGCGAAAAGGAGGTGGGTATGGAGATAAAGGAAGAAAGAAAACTAATTTCTAAAAGAGAACCAGAAGAGAAACAGATGATGAAAACTGTGTCTAAAAGTATGGATTCTTGAAACCAAAGTAGAATCATCGTTCGACAAGATCGTTGGTGGTGGCAGGATCTGCAAAGACTCGAATGAGAACTGTGAATCAAATCTATACTACATTATAAAGCATTTGACAAAACTCTTAAAAACCATTTTTTATACATGAAATATTGTTTATTGATTCATATTACTTAAAATTCAATATTACAAGTATATTGTGCGTAAGTACAACCTATTAAAGTTTCATGTTTGAATTTGTGTAACTAACTGTGGATAATTAAAATTTAATATTATCGTTTTCACAAAAACACAAAAACCCGTATTATAACATTGACTGAGACAAAAAAAAACGAACCACTAAAATCAAGATGTATCTCGCTGCATTATGCGAGTACCCTTCCAGTTTTAATAACTTTTAAAGATCTCACTTGTCGATAGTAAGATCTAAAGTTTGTCCAAGGGAGTTATTCACATGGACTGGTGGATGCCAAAGACCACAAAGAAGAAAGATGTTAAAGTTTGTACGTTTATGCTATACGGTGTACACGTTAGGGTTCGTTTGTTTTTTGCTCAAACAGCTTAACGAGTTTAATGCTTGGTCGGATTGAATCAGTTTAGAGTGTTGAAATGTCACTGCAATAGCAGTACTGTTAGATTTTAGATTATGTTATGTGCATTTAGGTGTCTCATTCAGGGTTGGTTTTCTTAGAAAATGGTAGTTACATCATACTAGATCCCTTCAATCCAGAGGTATCGTTTTCGCATTAATTAGAGTTCATTTCTGTCTCTCAATCGTACGCTTCTTTGCATCTTATCTTCAACTAAACAAGAACCAGTACCATATCTTAATTTCTTATCCCTAACAAAGATATATAAAATGGACACATGAGTGTGAAAACCGTTCTGAAAATGAAGAAAGCCAGAGAAGATACACTCAACGTGATAATTCTAGACACACCCTTCTCATTGTCGGCCGAGACTTTGGATCTGTGACAATGCATGCCAGTGCTACATCATAAACACGAAGAAGTTCCTTTTGTATCCGCGTGTTTGTTGGATAAGTGAGTCG